ACTACTTCTACTACTACTACTACTACTACTACTACTACTACTATTACTACTACTACGACTACGACTACGACTACGACTACTGCGACTATTACTACAAGTGCGACAAGCACTACTAATTCTTTACTACTGGTACTACCACTACTACTACTACTACTACTACTACTACTACTTCTACTACTACTACTACTACTACTACTACTACGACCACTACTACTACTACTACTACTACTACTACTACTACTACTACTACTACTACTACAACTACTACTACAACAACTACTACTACTACTACTACGACTACTACCACCTCAACTTACTACTACTACTACTACTACTTACTATTTACTCTACTATTACTACTACTACTACTACTACTAGTACTACTACCACGGCTACTACTACTACTACTAACTACTACTATTACTACTACTACTACTACTATACACTACTACTACTACTACTACTACTACTACTACGACTACTACTACGACTACTACTACGACTACTACTACTACTACTACTACAACTACTACTACGACTACTACTATTACGACTACTACTACTACTACTACTACTACTACTACTACTACTATTACTACGTTTACTACTACCATTACTACGACTACTCCACTATTACTACTACGACTACTACTACTACTACTACTACTACTACTACAAGTACTACTACGACTACTACTATTACTACTACTGCTACGACTACTACTACTACTACTACTACTACTACTACTACTATGTTTGCTACTACTACTACTACTACTACTACTACTACTACTACTACTACTACTAGTACTACTACTACTACTGTCACTACTTCTACGACTACTACTACTACTACTACTACCACTACTACTACGACTGCGACTACGACTACGACTACGACTACGACTACTACTACTACTACTACTACTACTACTACTACTACTACTACGTATCACTACGGCTACTGGGTCAAGCTTGGGGCCGGTTCGAACTTAGGCGCCCGTTGCCACTTGTAGTGCCCTGCCTCTCGCCCAAGAAACCCTGCTGCTGCAGGCATGCGGCCTGATCGCGGAGCACAGCAGGAATAGTGGCCAGGGTGCCAGCGTAGAATCAGGGGTGCAAGCAGATGCCTTGCCGTTGCCGCCCGCCGGCCTCTGGAGCTGAGAAGCTCGAGGGACCGGCCCCCACCGAGGAGGCCACGAAGCCAGAGAAGCAGGCGCAGAGTGCACAGGAGAAGCCAGTGATTCCAGCTCCCGTCTGTGTTGCCCAGAAGTCGCAGACAATTTGGCCACAGAAGGTGCCAGAGGACCAAGCGCGGCACGCTGGACAAGAGGCATCTCTTGGCACTGGCACCTGCAGGGGAGGGTGAGATCGAAGCCATGAACGGCTGACATGTACCCCCTGGGTGACTGCGAGTTGACAACTTCACGCAGCCTTACTCACAGGCTGATTTCCAGCGGGGCGCATTGGAGCTAGCTCCGCACAAACATGCAGGACCTTGGAAGGACTTACATATGTTTAACTCGGACCTGGAAGGATCCGACCATGGGCCAGATTTTGTTTTCCCTCCAGATCCCTCATGTGAGGAGGTCGAGGTCTGCCCGCAACCAGCGCAAATAATTACGCGATACAACGCGCAATGAGTCGACACTGGACGGCAATTGCGTCGCCATGACGTCGCAGAACGTGGCGCTGCAGGCTCATAGTGCTCGAGACATTGGTGACCTGAGGGGGCAACTGGGCTCCCAAGAATGGCAGTCAGAGACAACACATGCCAGCAACACGACAACGACGTGTTGGCCAGGGTCGCCCGGGCCTCGGTGCTCGAGACATGGCTGGCGAGCCCCGCGATTCGTCCCTTGAGAGGGCAACGTCGTCGGCCCGATCCCACGGATCACAGGGGGGCTGGGCTCACTGGGCCCAGCCCCCGTCCACACCCTTCGAGGGAACGGAGGGCGGCGGGGGACGGGAAGCGAAAGCGGCCCTCGGGGGGCACGGAGGAAGGCGATGCACCCAGCCGGTTGCCGAGCGCAGCCTCGGGGGTGCGGATGCAGGCGGCCGCCTTGGCGTGAGGCCGAGCGCGGCCTCGTGGGCGGCGCGGTGGACAGGACAGGGACTGTTCATGTACCGGTATATATTATCCTTGGGTCCGGCAGCGCGTGTTGATATACCCAGTAAGTTGTTTCCGTTGGCATGAAGATTGCGGCAGGAAGTTTCCAGCCTCGCGATTCTCCGATCCCATGTGTTCTGCCATCGCGGGCTGGGATCGAGATATGACTGGCGAGCCTTGCCCTTCATCCTTCGGCGGGGAGGGTCGTCGGTCAAATCCTACGGATCACAGGGGGGTCAGGTTCCCTAGCTACACACTTATCTTCCTTTCGGAGTCCTGCATACAGTCTATACGTGTGTTGACCAATGTATTGTGTATTTGATGTGCGGTGTTGGTGTGAATGTGTGAATGGGAGTTTTGTTAATGGCACGGTGGTTCTTCGCTTCGTGAGCTCACTCGTTGGACAATCAGCGAATCCGCCCCTACTCGGCCTCCAGGACAGCATGGCGGAAATGCCAGCGGTTCTGCATACATGCAATATGTGTTTGCCCAGCTTGTTATTGTTGATTCCACGGCAGTTCGAGAGTTGATCCGTCTTAGATCTGTCTGCCCCCAATCGAGGATGTGGACTCCAGGATTCAGCACGGCGGCACTCATGGTGGTCCAGCATATACTGCATAGTTGTTGTTCCACGTTGCTGTCGATGGTATGTTCATAAAGAGGTGTCTGTCGCTACGTTGGCGGCGTGGACAGCTGTTTGTTCTGGAACATCGAGCACGTGTGAGGAACCCGAGACCCCAACTCACTCAGAATCATTCGCGCACCAGGTGCATCTCATGCCACGTCCGTAGCGTCACCCTGGGGGGGGGGGAGCAAAGGGGATTCCCCAGACATCAGGCCACATCACGAGGATCCGTAAGTTGCATCATCAGGTGGCCATTATTTGCGAGGGGGAGTTGCCTACCGGCACATGGGCGTACACCTTAGGCGATGCTTAAGAAAACTTAAGTTTTCGTCCAGAGTCTCGATTAATTCTTAACTTTTCAATGTATATCCTAAGATTTGAATGGAAATTTTGGGTTTTTACTCAAGTTCTGAGACTATGAATTTCTTAACCCATGATTTCTTAAGCATTTCGCAGGGCGTAGGCGCCCTGTCGCCTGCATCGGGTTCCAGAAGTCCTCCCCCTCTCTCTTCCGACATCGGCCGCCGGACCTGCCTTACCGTGCGCCTCGGTTTGGATTTCGGAGGGGAGCCGACCGCGGCGACGAGAAGCCTCCCAGAGCCTCGGAAACGGCGAGACACTCTCGAAGGCTTGATCCTCTTCATCCTCGTCTTCCTCCTCCTCCTCCTCCTGCTGCTCCTCCTCCTGCTGCTCTTCCTCCTCCTCATCCTCATCCTCATCCTCATCCTCATCCTCCTGCTCTCTCCTCCTTCCGGTCCGCTTCCCTGGCCCTGTGCGGGGCCCTCCCCGACTGCCGTACCCTGTCCCCGCGCGGGTGTTTTGCAATCCCCTTCGCAGACGAGGGCGTGACCCTGTCTCCTCGTGGATCTGGCCGATCCGATTCGACCTCTCCTCCTCGGCCAAGACCCTGGAAGCTCCCCCCCACAGGACCACCTTCGGAGGACGCGGAATGGGAGGGCCCAAAAAATGAGGGGGGGGCAGCGAGGGCAGAACAGGGGCCCTGCAGGGCCCTCAAGGGGTCCTTTAGGGCCCCAACGGGGGCCTTTCGGGCCCGAGAAGGGCACCTTTCTTTCGGGCGATCGCAAACCTGCATTAAGGGGGCGTGGATTAGCGACGGGTCCCGTTTTCATCAGAAATCGCGGACTTCCGCCGCCGAGCGAGGCGGCTCCGGCTGCATTTTTGGGGGAGGTCTTGGATTTGGCGACCGCGCGCCACATCCATGGATCGCCAATCCATGTTTGCGCGCCCCCGATTCTTCCCCCCCATGTACCCTGACCTTCCAGAGTGCCAAAAAATAGCACTCCAGACCTATAAACCTATCTGGACTGCCTCAAACCTCGACAGAAAAAAAGTCGATGTCCTGGTGCTATTGTTCAGCCCTCCTGGAAGGTCATGGTATCGCCCCCCATTAATTCGCGCCCCCCGCGCCCAGCACCTCCTTGCCTCCGGCCAGTTGTGGTTGTCACAGGGCCCGAGGGCCCCCGGGAGCCCCAGGAGTGGCGAGAAACGTCCAGGGCATGTTGCTTCCCGGACCCGTGCCCGTCGTGCTGATACTCCTGGCGGCTCTAGAGGAGGAGGAGGAGGAGGAGGAGGAGGAGGAGGAGGAGGAGGAGGAGGAGTAGGAGGAGAAGGAGGGCGAGAATGACGAGGACGAGGAGGAGGAGGAGGAGGAGGAGGTTGATAATGAGGAGGAGGAGGAGGAAGTTGATAGTCAGGAGGAGGAGGAGGAGGAGGGATGCGTAGTGAAGCACCAGCGCTGGTACTCGGCGAAGGTCGTCCCATGGTACCGCTGAATCTGGCTTAATCATGTTGAATCTGGCTCCCTCATGGGCGTCATCTTGACTTGTCCGGTTTCGTGGCCCGCTAATTTGGCTCAATGGCCCTACAGCCGGGGCCGTCCAGACAGTGTGGTGACCACACCGCGCGGTAAGTCCGTGGGGACTCGGGGTCACCGCACGCTTCTGGGACCCGGGTCCCGAGGACGTCTCGGGCGATCGGGGCCTTCGACGTCCCAAAACCGTGTGGTGACGTGGGGGCCCAAAGAATATACACCACCACCACCACCACCACCACCACGTCGATTCCTCCTCTCTCCTCTTTCCAGCGAGAAGGAGGGGGGGAGGGAGGTGGTGGTGGTGGTGTATATTTTGGGGCCCCCTGTGACGGGCCGCGCGGTGAGGTCGCTGGGGACTCCGCGGTCACCGCGCGGTCCGTCACCACGCGGTGTTGGGGCCCCGCTCTTCCAGCGCTCCCCCCCCCCCGCAGGCGGCAGCGGCGGCGGCACGGTGGCGTGGCCGCACCTCGTGCGGCGGCGCGTCCTGAGCGCGCCCGAGCAGGGCGAGGCGCGCGGACTTCCTCCTCCTCCTCCTCCTCCTCCTCCTCCTCCTCCTCCTCCTCCTCCCTCCTCCTCCTCCTCCTCCTCCTCCTCCTCCCCTCCTCCTCCTCCTCCCTCCTCCTCCTCCTCCTCCTCCTCCTCCTCCTCCTCCTCCTCCTCCTCCTCCCTCCTCCTCCTCCTCCTCCTCCTCCTCCTCCTCCTCCTCCTCCTCCCCCTCCTCGCCCTCCCCTCCTCGGGTCGCCTACGGCCCCTGGTGGAAACCGTCCAGACCGTAGTGGGCCGCACGGTACCGTCCAGTCCGTAGTGGGCCTCCTCCTCGACCTCCTCCTCCTCCTCCTCCTCCTCCTCCTCCTCCTCCTCCTCCTCCTCCTCCTCCTCCTCCTCCTCCTCCTCCTCCGTGGGGGCCGAAAAGGGTGCCCCGAGGGGGCGGCCGAGGGGTCTTTCGGGCGCTCTTTCAGAGGGGGGCCTTCCCCCGACCCTCCAGGAGGGCCTCGTCGGTTCTCGGAAGTTGTCGCTGGCTCGCGGCGGCCGTCCAGCCTCGGGGCGCTCTCCGGCAGCTTGCACCTCGCGGAGAGGCCTCCGGGGCTGACCAGACCGTCCCGAACGGCCATCTGAGGCACGAGCTGCGGCTCGAGAACTGGGGATCTCTCAGGTGGTGGGCCTTTCTGCGGCGGGAGAGTGCGGGCCAGGCAGCTCGATAAACATGGCACGCTCCAGGAAAGCCCTCGACGTCGGCGCCCCCTCGCCCATCGGCGGGAGCCGGGCGGAAGCAAAACGGGGGCGGCTCCACTGGCGGAAGGCAGAGGATGCAAACACGAGTCGTCAGCAATTTGTGATTCGTGGGTTCCTGCGTTGACGACATGGCTGCTGACATGGGCGAGAGCTGGACACACACACACACACACACACACACACGCGCACGCACACACACACACACACACACACACACACACACACACACACACACACACACACTTTTTGGCGGTCGCGGCCTCGCGCGCAGCGACGAAGCAGAGACAGCCGAGTGCTGCGGGCGTACCCCGCGCGCGCGGGGCTCCGAGGAGGCAGCACCCGATGTCGCCCAGGCGTGGGTGCGGGGAGGAGGGGAGGACGGACCGACCACCGACCAGGGTGGGTTCCCGCAGAGAGGGCGCGAGGCGACACGAGAAGTGGGCGTTCGACAAGCATGCACTCAACGAGTGTACGAGTTACAGCCGAGGGCGAAGGAGGACGAAAGAGAGCCGACGCCGGTGGAGATGGCAAAATGCCATGGAAGACGCTCAGCGCATTGACCTCCGGCTCCCGTGCGGCCGCGAGAGCTCGCGAGAGGGAAACCGCTTCTGGGCAGCGGCGTCGGAGCCCCCATCCGCAGCCCCACGCCGCTCCCCCCCAAGCCCGGGCGGGGTCGCGGAGGACGCTGGCGGGAAGAGGGCTTCTGAAGAGGCTGAGCCGATAGGCAGCGAAGGCGTGGGAGTCGAAGGCCATCTGCTCATCCCCAGCGCCACCCGGAGTGCCAGCGGCGTGTCGGATGACCCACTCGTGCCAGCGGGCGGTCGCTGTGCGGAGGACGGGACAGGCTCTCCCGGTGAGCGGCGGATATCGCCGAGGTCGGGCCACCGCTCGGCCATGGAATATCTGTCAGTTGGCGCTTCTAGTCGATCGACGGTCTCGCGGAGACCTTGCCCGGGAGCGCAGCTCTCGTCGATCCATGCGCGGGCGCAGAACGCCTGCCAGGCCGTGCTGCCCTCGCCGTCGTCGATCAGAGCGGCGACGTACACCGCGAGGTCGCGGGAGCCGCGGGCCGCCAGCGACCGCTGCCGGCTGCGGAGGATGGGCGCGCGCTCAGCTGGAATCGACGTGGAGCCGTCCTCGGAGTCGGCCGGTTCAGGGGCGGCGTGGTGGGCGGCGGAAAGGAGTGCGGAGGAGGATGAGGAGGAGGAGGAGGAGGAGGAGAAGGAGAAGAAGAAGGAGAAAGAAGAGGAGGAGAAGGAGGAGGAGAGGGAGGGTTAGGAGGAGGGTCGGCCTGCAGACGTTCCTGCCCTTCGCGGGGGGGGGGGCGCCCCGTGGAGCCGGACTGCCTCGCAGACCTCGCCGGCGTCCGGGTCTCCGCGGGAGGCATGCCCTTGGGGGCTGGAGGACGGTGTCGGTGGCGGCTCGGCAGTGGCTCGGGGTCCACCTGCGCCCCGGAGGACCCTGAGGAGGGCTCAGAAATTGCACCTGGGCCTGGATGCCCAAATTCCAGTCGAGGTTTGAAGCAGTCCAGACAGGTCTACAGGTCTAGAGTGTTTTGTTTTAGCACTCTGGAGGTTCAGGGGAGAGGGGGGGGGTCCTGCGGGGACACCCGCAGAAGGAGCCGCACCGCCCTCCGCGCCACCCCCGGCGTCAGCCGAGGCCCCCCCCCGCGGGGGCACCCGCAGCGAGGGGGGATCCGTCCTCGCCCTGGTCCAGGCCAGGTGACCGCGGGGGGCCATGGAAGGGAGGTCGCGTCGCCAGTCGTCGTCGTCAGCAGGTTTGTCCTTCAGCGCGTCCTCAGCCGGCGCCTGAAGGTCGACACAGCCGGCGGCGGAGTAGCATCGCTAGAGGATACGCCGTCGGCCCACCGCGCAGATGTCGCAGGCGATAGTGACCGCCTCAGGGGAGACGAGGGTTGAGAGGCGGTCCTCTGGCGCGCGGCGCAGCCCGTAGAAAAGCTGCACTGCGGCGCGCACCCGCCGCGATTGGGAGAAGTCTGGCTGCGGCAGGGGCCCCATGTCAGGGCGCTGGCGGGTCTGGAAGTGGTCGTCGAAGAGGCTGCCGCCAGCCGCCGGCCGATCGGGGACCGAGCCCCAGACATCGGCCTAGCCTTGCCACAGCATTTCCTCAACGTCGGCGGGCCGCGAGCGCCACGTGCCGCGGAGCCCCAGACGCCCCGCGCGGCCACGGCCTTCCGGAAAGCCCGCGGCCCGCGCGGCGTGTGGGGTGCAGTTGGGGCCGTTCGGCTTTTGAGTTCGGCTGGGAGGAGGAGGAGGAGGAGGAGGAGGAGGAGGAGGAGGAGGAGGAGGAGGAGGAGGAGGGGGAGGAGGCGGAGGAGGAGGGAGAGGAGGAGGAGGCGGAGGAGGAGGAGGAGGAGGAGGAGGAGGAGGAGAGGAGGAGAGGAGGAGGAGGAGGAGGAGGAGGAGGAGGAGGGAGGAGGGGGAGGGGGGGGGGAGGCGGAGGCGGAGGCGGAGGCGGAGGCGGAGGCGGAGGCGGAGGAGGAGGAGGAGGAGGAGGAGGAGGAGGAGGAAGCGAAGGAGGAGGCGGAGGAGGCGGAGGAGGAGGAGGAGGAGGGAGGAGGGAGGAGGAGGATGAGGATGAGGAGGAGAAGGAGAAGGTCGGCTCGGCGGCGCTGGCCCGTGCCGCCTCCGCCCGCCAACGGGCCAGGCATTGCTGGGCAGCGGTTGGGTGAGGTGCTCGCCGTTCCAGCCGCGCGCCTTCAGCCAGCACCGTAGTGGGCCGCACGGTGGAGGGTTTCTCCGAAGGGCTTAGGCGACCCGTCCTCGTCCTCCTCCTCCTCCTCCGCCTCTTCCTCCTCGTCCTCCCTCTCCTCATCCTCCTATTCGTCCTCCTCCTCCTCCCCCTCCTCGCCCTCCCCTCCTCGGTTCGCCTCCGGCCCCTGGGGGAAACCGTCCAGACCGTAGTGGGCCACACGGTACCGTCGGTTCAGCGGCAGACGTGGCGCTGATGAGCACAGCCGCCGGCGCGCTCTCGCTCCTCCGTGCGGCCCACAGGTTAGACCCAGGAAGTGAGCGCGGCGGCGAAGGCCACCCCCTCTGGGCAAGAGGAGCCCAGGGAGGAGGGGGACAGAGAGCGCGGCGGGGTGCGCAGCCTCGCCCACATCGCTCTCGATGGGAGCGGCATATCGCTATCCCCGAGGTTGGTCGGGTAGATAGAGTACGGGGAGAGCGCGCCCAGCGGCGCAGGCTGCATACCCACCGAGGCGGGAGCGCGGCGGCCAGGTCGGCCTGCGGGATAAGGAACGCGCGCTCGAGGACAGCACATCTTTGCCAGAGATCATGGGAGGCCTCGGCTGGTTGAGACGGGGGTCAATGCAAACGGGGGTCAGCCAGAGCGCCCGATCTTGCAGGATCCTGCAGGGGCAGGGTCGCATTGACCCGGGCTTGGGTGCAGGATCCTGCAGGATCGTGCAGGATCCTTCGCATTGACCCAGGCTTATGCTCAGGATCTTGGAGGATTTGCAGGTTTCTGCAAGGCCTGACTGACCTGGGTCTGGATTGACCCGGGTCAGAAGATCCCCGACGGCTGGCAGGCCCTTGAAAAAGCAGGGGGCATGACCCGGCCCCGCCTTCTCGTGGCCGCAGTGCCTGAATCAAAGTAGACCAAGGCGTGGTCTGAGAGGCGAGTCTTCCAAGTGTCCACACACACATGTGTGTGTGTCTGTCGGATAAGCGCACGGCTCGAGTGCGCTAGAGCTCGGGTATGCCGACGCTTTTTGACGGGCCCGTCCTGAATTTTGACGGTCCAGTCTCCGTGGGGTGCTTGCAGCAGGAGCTCGCGTCGAATTTCAGACTGGGCCTCGCCGTTTTCTACACGGCCTCGCCAGGCCAACCCGAGCCCCCCAAAACCCGAGCCGTACGTCGCCCCCAGGCGTGGCCAGACGTCTCTCCGGCGCTCGGCCCGTGGCCGTGCAGGCCCGGCGTCCAGATGTGCATCCAGCGCGTGGGTTCCAGGCGTTACGCCTGTGAATCCTCCTCCTCCTCCTCCTCCTCCTCCTCCTCCTCCTCCTCCTCCTCCTCCCCCTCCTCCTCCTCCCCCTCCCCCTCCCCCTCCCTCTCCCCCCCCTCCTCCCCCTCCCCTTCCTCCTCGTCCTCCTCCTCCTCCTCCTCCCCCTCTGTGAAACTTGCGTGTGTGTGTGTGTGCCCCCCTTCCTGGTAGCACCAGAACTTCCTGAGCGAATTCCCAGTCGAGGTTCCGGGTTGTCCTGAGACGGCGGGGCCGAGACGAAACATGCCGCCGGACAGATCTGGGATCGGCAGCGACAGGCAAAAACAGCTACCTCGGAGGCTGGATGGCTACTTTCAAACACTGAAGGCCAGGCCTCGGATGCGCCCGAGAGCCTCCGCAGGCCGTTCGGAGGCCCTCGCGGGGGCCTCCCGAGGCCTTTTCTCAAACACCCGCTCAGAGGCCCGCGCCGAATCATCAACTGGTATGACTTCGCAGACGGAGTGTGATGTGCCTACAGTTCAACTGTCGATGTATCGAAGCATCCGATCCGAAGTATCACTGTGGACAGTTTGGCTACATGTTGGCCGGCGTGGACCCCAAACAGTGTGTTTCTAGCCATCTGACTCGTGCAATCGATGTGGGGCAATATACGTGTGCAACGTATATTGTGCACTAGTGGTGGAGGCATCTATGTTGTGCCATATACGTGGTACAATCTACATGGTGCAATATATGTTGAGCATTATATGTAGTGCAATTGATGGGCTGCAATATATGTGATGTACTTCGTGTTGTGCAATCTTGGGCGGCGACGGGGCGTCGACGGCGAGCACATGGCCGCCAGACCGCCGCACAGGCCCAGAGGACGGGCGGCGACGAGGCGGCGACAGGGCGGCGACCGCGAGCACATAGCCGACAGACCGCAACCCAGGCCCAGACGACGGGCGGCGACGAGACGGCGACGGCGAGCACGAAGCCGCCATACCGACATTCAGGCCCAGACGACGGGCAGCGACGGGGCGGCGACCGCGAGCACGCAGCCGCCAGACTGATATTCAGGGCCAGTTCCGTAGAAGAGAAGTAAGAATCCCTAAGTGCAAGCATTGCTTGTGGAAAAAGATCGCGAGTGTTGCAATGGATCGAGGCGGGACTCGAAGTCGCACCACCATCAGGTCTCGCCGTCACAATGGCTTCACACCAGACGACTCCGCCTGATTTCGGGCCCCAGGACCCTCACGGACCGATCTGGCCTGAGGAATACCACAAACGCCCCCGATCGTGATTTTCTACGATGTTGCCTTCTGTTCGCGACGTCGGGTCTCAGCAGCCGATGCAGTGGTTCGGGGCGGGCCTCTGAAATTAAGTCGGGCATGCCCCTCTACAGGAGGAGCATTCGAAAATAGTGAAAAATAGTCCAGGGACGATGTTTCGACTATTCGTTTTTTTTGATAGTTTGTGCTGGTATGTTTTATCTGTCGTCCAAGATCCGCCTCCGGATCTCCCCAGAAGCCCTGGGCGCCTCTGGAGGCAGAGCTCTTCCGAGCTTGGAGGCACCTGCGACCTTCCTCAGCCGTTCTCGTGGACGGTCCTTGGGCCCGGTGGGCCCTCAGAGGCCGAAGGATTGGCAGACGTTGCGTCCGGGTTGCTGCTCTGACGTGAGCAGTCGGTCGGGCCTGTCCCTCTACAGGGGGGATCTTAAAACATCGTGCTTTTGTTTAGACAAAACGTTTGGGACGATCTTGTACCGTATGTTTGCATATGTTTTTGCGTATGTCTGTATGTGTTTTATTTCTCGTCCAAAATCGGCCTGTAGGGGGACATGCTCGACCAAACCCGAACATGTCTGGGAGTGGCTTCCCCCAGGGAGGCCCGGCCCGGGCAGGTTTCGGGCGTTGCGCAACTGGGGTGCGAAAGTGAGGGGGGCGAAGGAAGGCGCAGCTTGCGTGCATTTCTCGGGGCCCTACAAGCGCCCTCTGGCATCAAAAGAGGGCACGGGAGGTGCACGCGTCTTCGCCCCCCAAACGTATCGCACCCCCATCAGAAGCAGCGCCTGAAGGTTCGGGGACGCACCAGCCCAGGTCAGCGCAAGCCCGGGTCGGCCAGGGCCACGTCCCGAAGCCTTGGCCGGCCGCTCGGCATAGCTCCCAGACTGGGGCCAGCGGAGGGCGGACGAGGGGTCATCGGCCCAAGTGGCTCCCAATCCCCGGTCTGCCAGACCGGGCTGGCTGACTCGGGCTGCAGAGACCCCACCCTGACACGTGGATTCGTACATTGTCCCTGTCTGGCTCTCGAGAGAGCGCCGCGGCCGTCAGTTTCCAGGCTTGCGCCCGCCAGCTTTGGGTCCGAGATCGGTTTCATGAAACCACGTTTTATGAAAGAGGGTTCTGTCAATCCCCGGCTGACCCCGGTTGGGGAGCTGTGGACAGGGACAGGCAGGCGGAAGCCGGCCTTCGCCAGCAGCGCGGGCAGGCCAAGGTCTTCCGCGGCAGTTGGCCTCGCTTGCCTGCCAGCGCACGCGCGCGGAAGACCGCGCGGGTCCAGAGCCGGCCCGCCGAGGCAGGAGCTGCCAGAACGCCTCGGGCTCGATCCGATTTCCACCACCGCTACCACATGTAGGAGAGGGAGGAGGAGGGCGGAGGGAGGAGCGCTGAGCCCCCCGGCAGGTGAGCGGAGCGGACGTGCTGGAGCCGCTGCTGCCATCGGAGACCGCCGAGGAGGCCGAGGAGACCCGGCGGCTCGCTCTCCCGCGGCCGCCGTCGGCTCGACGGGGGGCCCTCTCGGCGGCCCTCGGCGGCTCTCGGCGGGCCGGGGCAGCGCTCCAAAGGTGTCCAGTGCCCGCTCGGGCGTGAGTCCCTCCTCCTCCTCCTGCTCCTCCTCCTCCTCCTGCTCCTCCTCCTCCTCCTCCTCCTCCTCCTCCTCCTCCAGCTCCTGCTCCTCCTGCTCCTCCTCCTCCTCCTCCTCCTCCAGCTCCTCCTCCTCCTCCTCCTCCCCCTCGCTCGCTCATGGCTGTAGGTCGTTGCACACGTGCAGCCACCTGCCCTGCCCCTCCACCTCGGCTGAGGGCCTGAGGTGGAGGGGGGTGCATTCGGGAAATGGTGAGAAGAAATAATGGTGGACTAGAATGGGAAGTAGCAGCAGCAGCACAAATGGAGGGGTGAGGGGGGAAGCGCCTGTCATAACAGTTGTGGTGGTCTAGCACATGCAAGTTTAAGCCCGAAAACGCCAGGGGAAAGAGACAGAGAGAACCGAAGGAACACGGGGCCCACAGAACAGGAAAAAAGAAACGCATGAGTTGTAAACCACCATTGTGCAGCGAACGCGAGGTGAGGTAGAGGAGATGAAGTAAATAAAAGACAGGAGCAAGGAGCGGCGGAGGCGGGTGGGTAGGTGGGTACGCGCTCAAGGTGAGACCCAGCTGATTGCAGAGGTGCCTTGGTCCAGGTGGTTGGCCATGGCATTGAGAGCCCAGCGGGTTGCCGAGGTGCCTTGGTCCAGGTAGTTGGCCAGGGCAATGAAAGTGGCAGAACGCTGGTGGCAGGGAGAGATTGGGACAGGAAGCAAAGCTGACAGGAAACGGTGCAGAAGGAAGAAATGTGAACTAGTGCCTAAAAAGGCCGCCTGGGGGAAGCCGCAGTGGCTCGCTCTTGGGGGTAAGAGGCTGAGGACCGCAGTGGCTGCTCTTGACGGAGGTTAGGTGCTGCAGTTAGCTTGCTCTTCTGGAGTGGGGTAACCTCCCAGGCGGCACTACTGAGACGGTCGATGGACTGGCGCGCAGCTGTGGGCGCACATCAGAAGAGGAGGGGAGGAGATGTCATATCGAAGGAGTGGAGGTGTGCGGTGTGAACAAAGCCCTCGGCGCTGGTGGGAGGGTGGGCACGTCGCAGTGAGTAGTGTTCTTCTCTCCTGCCCCCCCGTGCGATCCTCCCACGCCATCCGTCCCGACCACACGAGGGGGGGAGGTGAAGGTTAGCAGAAAGAGGCGCAGAGGAACAGGGAGGTGGAAAAGGTTGGGAGAGGGCGGTAGGTTCAGTGCTGGAAATGGAGGTCGGAGACGCAATCGGTGGAGACGACATACCATGTGTCCGTGCTTTGCCGCAGGCGAGGACGATGCGGAAGATGAGGATCAGGGTGCGCTCGGAGATGAAGAACGGTTGGAGCGTAGGTCGGAGGTCGGGAAGGCGCGTCGTTTGGCTGTGACGACGTGGGGCGCTTGGGCACCTCGTTCGGTCGTCCAGTGTTTGGTGGGTGATGGCGAGGATGGCGATCTCCGTAGTTTACGGGCGTAGGTTGTTGATGGACTCGTTTAGGCTGTCGATGAGCTTGGACATGGATTCCTTGGCCAGGGTGATCTCCTTCTGGATGTTGAGGGCCTGGTTGTAGCTGACGTGTTGTTTGCCTACCATTGTGGTAAGGATGTCGAGCTTGTCCTGGATGTCGTTGCGTTGGGACTGGCATTCGGTGATGATGTATGATATCAGAGCTTGTTTGGTGCTCCGCACGCTATTGGTCTGAGTGGTGGTGCCCCGGGCCCATAGGCCGCTGTTTCTGCGATAAGACGCGCTGAGGACTGCGACCTCGTCGCCCTCGTTCACCGCGATTGTGCCGTGTCCGATGGAGTCCGCCAGCGTGGCGTGGATCGAGTGGCGCATAGTTGCTCCCATCGGGAAGGTCATGGTGTCGGGGTTGACCTTCTCGCGTGTGATCGCAGCGATGGGGAACCATCCAGTGGACCTTTGTGGTTCGACTTCTATGGCAGGCGGTCGGTTGTCGGTTGCTGCTGGCGCGCTGTCGCTGGAAGTCGGGTTGGACCAGCTGGGTTCGGTTGTGGGTGTGCGTCGCTCCTGTGAGTCGAGCTCGCGCTGCGTGGTCTTGCCCTCCTGGTCGATCGCGTGCGTGGGCTGTTCTACTGCGTCTTCTCTCTGATTGTCGGTGGGGTAGGTGGTGCTTTGAATTTCGAGGGCTTCGCGGCTGGGGTCGCACCGCTATGGTGGGTGGGTTGGTGCTTCTGGCTGGGAGCCGATAGTGGGGGTACGGTTGCTGGGGTTGCGCTGGCGGCTGCGCCTGCGCTGCTCGTAGGTGTTTCGTTACTCGGTAGGTGGGCCGCGTTGTTGTCCTCGGTCGTCGTCGTGTCTTCTCGGTCGTCGTCGTGTCTTCGTTTTTGTGCATGGTGACTCCGTGCGCAGTCGAGTCCCGAGTCGGTCGTATCTCGATGTGCACCTCGCGCTCGAAAGTGCTGCGGTCGTCGCGTGGTGCGATGATGGGTTTGGGGCTGCTCAGCTGCTTGATGCGGTGGATGACGCGACTCACGCGCGGAGGGTGTGGGCCCCCCTCCAGCATGGGTGCGACCACGGGCATGTTGTTGCCGAAGGTGAGGAACGGCCTGGGGCCCTGATTGACCTCGCGGCGGGAGAAGAAGGCGCCGCCTGCGATGTCGCTGCACCACAGATGTGCTCGATCCACCCATTCGTGTGCTTCGTGTTCCTGTTGGTATTGGGTCTGAATAGATCGTGGATGGTCTGCGTCATTGCTTTGTCGACCTGTCCACGTTTAGCTGGGCATTCTGGCATTGGGGGGTGATCGTTGGGGGGGCACATCGGCCTGAGGCCGCGGCGGAAGCAGCCGTCCTTGTTGATGCTGAAGGCCTCGACGCTTTGGTCGGTTAGTTGTCGGGCGCAGCATGGGTCGCAGTTGACGTCGCCGGGGGACTTCCACTGAGCGATGCCTGTCTGAAGGTTGCGGTAGTAGGCGAGGCCCCGGCTTGCGTCGGCGAGGGCCTGCCAGCTTGGCGGCAGCATCGCGCAGCGCTTGGTCGGGCCGCAGAGCGTCACCTCGTTTGTATTTTGGCAGAGCCACTGGTTTGCGGAAGTATCGGGTGGTCGGTGTCGTCGTTGTGGTTCGCATTGGGGCTCTGCCTGGGGGTGGCCCAGTCGGCCGCGGCGGCCAGCACTGTGTCGGAGGCACGTTTTGGTTGCACACGAGCTGGAAGATAGTCAGCATAGGTAAAGGGATGGTTCGTTAGACCTGTGGCGTTGATCCTGTTTGCATGAGCTTCAGGTAGGCGTTTGCTGGGATCGTGCGCGCTGGTCGCTGTACATGTTGTGGTCGGATTTCTGGGAAGGCTGCATTCCAGTCGGGCAAGTAGCTCTGGGCACAGCTGATGGGGTGCAAGCCAGCATTGCGTAGCCTCTGGAGGTGCTGAAGAAAATGGCGAGAGCTGCGGTCGTCCTCGTCATCGGTGAGGTAGTGTGTTGCTTGTGTGGCCGCCTTGTTCATATATCTCGTCGGTGTCGTTGACCTTGATCATCATAATGCCAGACAGCGGAATCTCGGCTGGTCGCTCGTATGCTGGTAGTTCGTAATCAGGTATCTGTATTTATTCTGGCAATGCATCTCCATATGGTGTAAACTCGATTTGGTGAACGATGATCTCCCGCTCGTGGGCCCCCGCGTGGACGTTGGTGGTTCTGTCGATTCTTGTTGTACAGATCTCCGAGGTCGCGGTGATCTCATGTAGCACCTGAGCTGGGTATCCGGTGAGGGCGTTGTCGATGATGGCGGGCCACTTGGGGAAGTCGTTGGTCGGTGAGCTCAGTTTTAACATTGTCACGTGGTCAATCTCCTTGGTGAGTAGTGGTGGTGTTCGATATGTGCCTGTCCATGTTGGTAGGAGTGCGATTGCTGGTTGGCGGCATGAGTACATTGGTATTCGCTGTGTTTTGAGGTCGGTTTCGTCGCAAGGCAGTCCACCGACCGTTTGTGGAGTAATGTGATGGCGGTCGACAGGGGGATGTAATTGTCCGTGCATGGACGCAGCGTGCCGAAGATGTCAGCGGTTGCCACGGTGTACGCATTTCGGGTATATCTCTCGACGTTGCCGTGGATGGTTTTGCTCTCGATGTCTTCGAAGTTGCGGCGCGTTGTCCATGTTTTCCTTTTTTCGAGGATGCGCAGTGTCTGGAAGTTCGCGAAGGGCTCCTCGTCCTTGTTCTTCCAAGGTGGTGCTTGTAGTAGTGGTGGCACGGTGCTGACCTGCCTTTCGGCGGTGTCGTGCCACTCCAGGTTTTGGACGGGGATCTTCTCGGGGTCGCGGTCGTTCGCGGTGTCTTCTTGCGCGCTGCATTATGCGGCGGCGCGGCAATGGGGGCAAGGGCCAGGTCGATCCATCCAATGGTCTGCGTCGGTCCACAGCTCGCTGTTGGAATGTACGATGAAGCTGCCCAGTACAATGGCCCAGCTCTCCTTGACCATTTCCTTCCAGCACTTCCCAGCTGCTGCGAGGTAGGCGGCGGCGATGCGGCGTCGATAGGCGGCGCGAACGAAGCTTCCCTTCACTGCCGCGGGGACGCAGATGCAACCCAGGCCGGGGTAGACGTAAGTGTAGTGTCGCGACAAGGTCTCAGACGTTGATTCCTCACGATGGCCATGCGATGCCTGTGCAAGGAGCGGCTCCTTGCGGTTCTGCGTGGGGGTCTCCAGGAGTGTAGGAGAGCGCCTTCTTGTTGTCGTAGCCTTTGCTATAGGACACGAGGGTCGGCGTTCCTTCTTGTCGGTGCCCAGGTGGAGCCTCGCGTCGTGTCTTGCGCGGGGCTCAGCTGATGGCTGCAACTCGTGTGCTTGTCGGCGTGGCCTAAGCCCTTGACTCCGTTGGCGCAGGGGGGATTTACCTCGTCGGTGTCGATGAATCTTGGTAAGTTGCCAAAGGCGTCTGCAGGTGCCCAGATGTCTGCGTCT